CTTCTTCTTTTTAAAAGAGGAATTGTTGCTATAGGGTGTGTGTGCTTGATGGAAAGACAGAGAGACAGAAAGTGAGAAGTAACCACCTCCTCCCAGGGGGGATGGCCACCCCACAGTCATTTCCCTTCTTGGGGTTTTGGGCATGCACACACATGTGCATGAGTTTCAAGCTGTTGAGTCCGGGACTTGCAGTTGTCCATATGGGAGTCCAGCAACATAACCATTACACCATCGGCTGGTCCCAGTGTAGGTTCATTCTAAAGATGTAGTTACGTGAGCACCGCATTGTGTAGAGCAATGTGGGTGGCACGCTGACGCTTGTGGGGAGAAAGAATACCTTTAATGCTTTCACACGCAAAAGATGTCGTTGCAGGATATGTAAGAAATGAATGAGATACCAGTTTCTATCAGGAAAGCAGCTAGGTGGCTGGGAGAAAAAGAGGGGCGAGAGGGTTTTAAAGGTCTACCCTTTGACAGTCTTTTGAAATTTGAAATTAGTGAAAGTTTTTGCATCCCTGATTCGGGTCACTGTCACATGGATGGGAAATCCCTTTTGCTCTTGCAAGGAGACAGTTTTCTCTCCCCTTGCCAGTGCTGTGTACTCCTTTTTTTCCTTCCCGCCTCTGCACACCTCACTTCTGCATGTCTGCTCCCCGGCAGGATGACCCAGAACATGCTGACCGTGAATGGAGTCGACGTGGCCTCTTCGCCATCCCGGCCCACCCACATCAACATCCACATCCACCAGAACTCAGCGCTGGCACAGGTGTTGAGTGCAGCTGCGAGTGCCCTGAAGCAGTCTCTTTCTCACCCTCGGGACGCCATCTGGTCCAAGACCAGGCTGAACTATGGGCAGCTGGCTCTAGGGGTGAGGCTGGGCTGGCACGTGGGTCAGGGAGGTGGTGCAGAGGGGCAGAACTCTTCAGGAGGGTGCCGTGAAGGAAAGCAGGGCCGAGTTCATGCGAGGAAGGGCATGAGAACTCACCGTCATTCTTCCTTGTTTGGGAGAAGATTAGGAAGTTTCCCTGCAGAGATTTGGGTCAGAGCATGATCAACGTCTTCCTAGGTGTGCAGAGAGTAGTCCCAGCTAGAGGCGGGCAGTAAGTCAAAGAATCTCTGGAGGTCGTTAACGCAGTCTCAGTGAACCCAGGTGCTCTAAGGGCCTGCAGGTCAAGACCGTATGCACTTCAGGGGAGACAACAGTGGAAACCCTAGGCTCTAACCTAGACAGGCTTGGCAGTGGTCAGAAGGGGTCAGGATGAAAATGAAAGGCAAATCCAGTGAAATGAGAAACGAGAAGCCCCTCCAATGGCCCTGGGAGGCAGGAGTTGGTGTCAGAGCTGATCCTGAGCGGAGAAGGAGTGGGTTTAGACAGATGGAAGTAGAAGACTGGAGAAAGGAAGCTGGGCTAAGAGGATAGCAAGAGTAAAGGCAAAAGGTCCGAGAGCTCAGGGCTCAGGGCAAGTTCTATAATAGTAAAGAGGAGAGCGAATGACACTCAGGGTCGATTACGAGAGCCTTGTACGATATGGTGACGAGCTGCCTGGCTCAGCTTTGATGTGCAAAGGCTGTGGCCAGGCTCTGGGCTTCAGGGTACCTCATTCAGGAGGTGTCCGGGTGAGGAATATCAAGGTCATACTTTTTTTGATAACGGCAGGGTTGAAGAGGAATGGAAGGCGTTTATATCTCTATCCTTTGTGGGTGGGGTATTCATGATTTGGGAGTGAATGGGTGTGTGTTCTAAGTCTCAAACACAGGAAGGTCTGGAGTGTGAATGACCAGAAGATGGGATCCCTGGAAGACGGGAGTAGAGATTGGGGGTGGGGTGCATGGAGTCTGTGACAAATCTGAGACGCTGGCAGGACTTATGGGGGATAATGTCCGAGAGGCTGTGACCGGTGGGTTCTCCAGGAAGTAGAGGCTGAGATATAGGTGGGTGTGCAGATGGTTGATGGAAGTGCAGCACCCATGAAATAAATGGAAAGAGAGGGAGCAGGGTGGGGGGGGGCATCAGACAGCAATGCAGACCCTGGCAAGGTCCTCACAGGTGGGTTGGGGTGGGAGAAGCTCTAAGCAAAGACTGCCCGTTCTAGGAGTTCTGCCTGGGGTGGAAGTGGCCCTGCCTCTGCTTGCTTAATCAGTGGGCAGAGGGCCCATTTCCAAAGTGTGTGCCTTCGGTTGAAAGATGAGAGGGATCCTGAGAGAGCCGATAGTGTCGGTTATCAACGGCCATGAGGGGGTCTTAGGGCACATCTATGCCTGCCACAGAGCTCTCGATACTGTGTGTTTGGATCTGAAGAGGCGTGAGGGCCAGAGCTGAGGCCGCGCTGAGGATTTAGATGGCATTCCTAAGGGAGAAAGAGGAAGGGAAGTGGGACTCACCAGGCGGGATGACAGTGTTGAAGCTGGACAAAGGAAATGAAGAATAAGCAGGCAAGCCTACAAGGGAACTTCACAAAATCTGTGGAAAATAGAATTAAAGTATGAGTTTCTTTTAGTGCAAAACATTTTGAAATACCTGCATAGCTTTTTCATCATATGCATGAACTTTTTGAAGACTCTCGCATAAGAGTAATGACTGGAGGAGAGCTGGGTTGGTGTAGCTCCATGGATGTAGGGGAGAGAACCTTCCAGAATCAGAGGGGCAGAGAGGTCAAGGCAGAGGAAAAGGAGGGGAAAACTTCCAGGCAGGTTCTGTGAAACTCTTCCCGGTGTGCAGGCTCACAGGGAGGGCTCTGGGTTTTAATCCTGTCTTGCAGGTGACTGAGGTGCTGCTAGGGCTTATGAGCTGTGCCCTTGGAGTGTGTCTCTACTTGGGGCCCTGGACTGAGCTGCGGGCCACTGGCTGCGCCTTCTGGGCAGGATCTGTGGTGAGTTAGGCATGGGCTCTGAGTTTGGTGGGAGGCGGGTATAAGCCAGGAGAAAGTCCTTTCGGATGTGTGTCAGGAACTGGGGAAGCCACTGCAGACCCAGAGTCCAAGTGTCCTTTGGCTCCAGGAAGCTGCCTTAGGGATGGTGAGACCCCCTCACTCGCCTTGTTGTCTTTATGACCAGGGTGGAATGGGTGTGGCAGTTCTACCAGGGTCCTGTCCCTTGGATTTCTTTGCCTATCCCTTGGGTCCTACTTTGAACTGGCTGTTCTGGGAACTGTTGGTGACAGAGTGACAGGAGACCAGCCAGGAGAGTAGACTAGAGAGGCCTTTTCTCTGGTGTCCCTCTGCCTAGGCCATTGCAGCAGGAGCTGCCGCCATTGTCCACGAGAAGTACCAGCGCAGACTTGCGGTGAGTCTCGGGCACCATCTCTCCCTACCTCGTCCGTTGATCACTCCTGTGCTATCTTTTCTGCTTCTATTTTCTCTCTTCTGCTCTTTGATTCCTAATATCCTGGGGTCTTTTCTGGAGGGATGTGAAGTGTTTTGGGGGACATGAGCTGGGGAAGAAGTAGGTTCTTTCAGGACCCTCATGACTCTCCCATTGGCAGAGCGAGTCTGCATCCTGACCATCTCTTTTCTAGGGCTGGGTGTCAGTTCTGCTCACCCTGGCTGGCACTGCTACAGCTGTCGCTGCTGTCGTCCTCTGTGTGAATAGCTTGACCTGGCAAGCCGACGCCTTCCCCGATATGGACGTTGTGTGTGATCGTCCAGACCCTGTTGTCTCAACTGTGGAGTATGGATGGCGGCGGAGAAGAACTTACTCCAGCTGGGAGGAGGATGAGTGCAGGAATTACATGACTATGCTAACGGTGAGAATGAGGAGTTCAGTATTCCAGGCGCCCCTGGCCACCCTTTGCTTCCAAGGAATTGGGGCACCAGAGGGCAGGGATATAAACTCTTCCAGTCTGGACCTCATCCTAGGCCTTTGGTTCTGGAGGTTCTTTTTTTTTTTTCCCCCAGTTTATTTTATTAATGATTGAGTGCATGCCTTGCATGTCAGAGAGAGGCAGAGAGGGAGGGAGGGAGAGCCACCCTCGGCAGTCTTGTCATGTTATAATCCTCTTCCCCTAGCCTTCCTGCCTGTCAGGATCTTGGGTGCATGCACACCAGCAGGTATCGGTCTGACCTCCGAACCTGGGTCGGCCATATGATCTCCAGACTGCTGCTGATTGTGCAGCTGACTGCACCTCTGAGGCCAGGCCTGTTTGGGAGGTTTTAACTTCAGCTGGAGACATCTTTCAGACCTTCATGATAAAGGTTCCTTGACTCCAAGGGATGAGGGCCCGGCTCCCAGCACAGTGGCAGCATGCTGCCTGCAGTTCTGGGAGCTGTGGGGCTCAGCTGGTTTCAGATGCCAAGCCAACCTGAAACATGCTGGGTGTGCCCAAGAGCTGGACTTGCTGGAGAGCTGGGGAAGAAGGGCATGGCAAAGGAAACCCTGTTAAGGGGTGAGTCTTTTTCTCATGACAAATAAACCTTCTTAGAAGGTTTTTTTCTTTTCTTTTCTTTTTTTCTTTCCTCTCCCCACCCCCACAGGGCATGTGTACTTGCTGGAGAGATACAGAGAGAGATAGATACACAGGGAAAATGAGAAATCACCCCTTCAGGGGATGGCCATGCCACAATCCCTTTCTCTTCCATTTTTCTCCTAAGATTTTGGGAGTACGTGCATGTGTGCCCAGTGTGATTTTAAAGACACCAGGTCTGGGACTTGAATCATGGTCTGCCATGTGAGAGTCCAGCCCTTTAACTACCACACCACCTGCCGGTCCCATAAAATGAACTAAAAAGAAAAGATGATAAGAACAAAGTGGACATAGTTCAATTTTGTGGGTAACTTGATTGAATGTGTAGTTAGCAAGTGGGTTCTCTCATGTGGTTGGGGGTGAAGTTGCCTGAGGGCTCGCCTGGGCTGGTTGTCCGAGATGGTGCCCCCATGTAGCTGGGAGCTCAGGTGGGAGAGTCAGCCTGAGGGCCCACTGTAGCTTCTCCATGTGGACCAGTGCTTCTCATAGCATGGCCAGGAAGTTGCCAAGTCGGGAACATCCCAGCTGTGAACATTCCAGGAGGTGGGGAACAAGCTGCCGGGCCATTGGGGGCTGCCTCTGTCACTGACATAGGGTCACATTCCCTGCATTTTACTGACCAACGTAGTCACAGCTTCTAGATCCCAGGTGGTGGAGAAATAGACTCCGCTTCATGATGGGGAATGGTAAGGTCATGCCGAAGGCCACCAAATGGGATGGAAGCTGTGGCTGCCCCATCACTGAGAAATGCAACCTACTGTGGTAGGTAGCAGCTAGCTGGAGGGTGGGCTGTGGTCTGGTTGTTAGGGGAGCTGGAGCTCCCATGGATGACCACACGGTTTGCTTCTAGCCCCACTGACTTGAAACATATGCCAGGTGTGTGCATGTGCATGCCCCAAATCCCAACAGGGATGGAGAGGCGGTGGAGAAGGGTTTGTGGTGTGGCTGTGCCCAGGGGGTGCTTTCTCCTTCTCCTTGTCTCTCTATCTTTCTCTGGGGAGTACACACACCTTCTGGCAGAAAAAAAAATAAAAGAAAAAAGTAAAAGCGAGAAGGAAGTGCTGGCTGGACAGAGCCTGGGATGTGGGTGGGAGTACGAAGAGGTGCCATGAGCAGAATTGGAGGACCCCACTTGACTGTATCTTTTTTCCTCTGATATCTCCAGAAATTGTTCATAGGATTCCGTGCCCTGCTCCTGACCATCTGTGCCATGAATGTCATCGTGTCCTTGGCTTCCCTGGGGATGGGTCTTCGGAGCTTGTGTAGTCAGAGCTCTGCCCTCCTGGTGAGTGGTGACGGAGGTGCTGCTGGACAGTGGGTCTGGGTGGGGGAAGCGTGGGAGTAGGAGGCACAGTGGGCCTGGAACACCCTGCCCGGGTCAGGCCTGGAAGACCCTGCCCAGGTCAGGCCTGGAAGACCCTGCCTCGGTCAGGCCCAGCCTGAAGCTTCCTTCATGCTTGGCTGGCTGACTGTCTGGGAATGTGACCTCCTCGCTGCATTCCAGGCCCTGCCTCCTGCTCTCCTGTATTCTAGTGTCCCCACTTCCTCCTCCTTCTGTCCCAGCTCTTTGCCTGACCCCCCTCCTCTGCCACCTTGTCTTTTCCTGTCATATTTCTTTTTTCTCCTTTACCAGGTTTCCAAGTTCTCTGAAGCTAGCTCAGCCTCATCCTCCCCCGACCACCCCCAATTGTTTTTCTTCCTTTCTTTTTCTTCCAGGTTGAGGAAGGGTCACAGAATAAGCTTTTAGGGGAGAACTCGGTGCCTCCCTCCCCCTGCAAGGAGAAGGGCCCAGCTGCCATCATCCTGTGAACAGTTGAAGACCCTTCCTGGGCCCTCGGTATGTCCCAGTCTGGAGCAGCCCAGGACCTGCAGGAGGACGAGCGCTGACCCCAGCCGCACATGGGCCTCTCCTGGCTGGCCCCACTTCTTTCCTTCGTGCCCTGCCATCCCAGCCAGTGTTCCTACTTCAGGTTCTCAGTTCAGTCAGCAGACACTGCTGCGTTTTCCCAGTACCAGCTGAGCTGAAACACCAGGGGCAGGAACGCTGCAAGTACCATGCAGTCTCCCTGTGTTTACACACCCCGTGCGCTGCCAGAACCCTTTCTTTGCATTGATACATATGGAATTAAATGAGAGCTGACTGAATTGCCTTAAGTCCTGCTCTAGATCTGTGAACTCCTTTTTATGATTGCCTTGCGCTGAAATGTACAGGAACAGTCACTCTCACTTGCTCAGAATCTTGTTGCCTTCTGAGCTATCTTTACGCATCTACAACTTTGACCTGTAGACCACAGAACCGCGTGGAGCAGGAAGCTGGCCCCTGTGTTCCTCTCTTCCTTTCTTCTTTTCTCTTATCTTTTCGCAGTCATGGGTGTTGATGCTCGCTCCCTCCATGCACAGACATGCACACAAACACTTGCTATTCTATTCTGCACCTTCATCATAAACAATGTGACCGAGTTTTTCCACTGTTTCCTTGTACATGTATGAATTCATGGTATAAATATACGGATGTATTCATTTCTGAAGGGCAGGAAAGCAGGGCTTCACGAGACCTTCACAAGGTAGGGTCTTCTGACATGGCAGCCCCATGGGAGAGGAGCTGTTCTAGTCCATGGGCACTGACCTGAGCCCCACCTCCCCCTCACATGGAGCTGTGCTGAGCACATCCAGGGCTTTGGAGGCCAGCCAGCCCAGGCTTCCCCTGTGGGCACTTCAGAGTGGAGGACCTGCACGGGGCTACCGATCCTCTCAAGGCCTGGCACCAGCCTGTTCTTTACAGAGAGATTTGTAGATCAACCCAGGAGACAGCCGTATGCTCAGAGTATTGGCTGGAGGTCAGTCAATTCTAGTGTAAAGGTGAATCCTGTCTGCTGTTTATAAGTAATTTCACTGAAACAGAGTCGGGCCTGAGAGGACCCAACCTTTGGCCAGTAGTAAGCCTGAAACCAATCGATCTCATTATCTTCCAGAGTCTAAAGTCGACAAGTCATCAGTCAGAAAACCATGACCCAGAAACACTGGCAATCCCCACCTCCTACCGTCTATTCCCCACCCCTTAATAAGGAAGGAATTAGAGTCCCGAAGGAGTGTAGAGCCTCCTGAACCTCAGCATGCATTTCCCTCCAGCAATGCAGGGATGGAAACTCTTCATCCTCGGTTGAACAGACGAATGTGAATGTTGCTGAGTTCTGAAGCCAAGGTGGGTGGGCGTGTGACAAGACTCATCAGCAGGACAAGGGCCTGTGAGGCCCCACCTAGTCAGGCTTCAGAGAAGGGTGAATCCATAAAGAAAGATTCATTGCTACTTTTCCGTGGTTCTCCTGAGTTCTTGCAGGTCTTGCACACAGAAGCACTGCCTGCCTCTGTTCTGGACTGTCTTTACTTTTCAATTGTCAGAGGGCTCATATGGAAGAGATAGAGAGATAGAAAGAGAGAGAGAGAGAGAGAGAAAGACGAAAGCACCCTCAGTGGGTTGTGGTCACTGAGTTCTTGCAGGTCTTGCACACAGAAGCACTGCCTGCCTCTGTTCTGGACTGTCTTTACTTTTCAATTGTCAGAGGGCTCATATGGAAGAGATAGAGAGATAGAAAGAGAGAGAGAGAGAGAGAGAAAGACGAAAGCACCCTCAGTGGGTTGTGGTCACCCTGCAATTCCTTCTCCATTTCTCCATCCCATTAGGATTTAGGGCATACACACAAATACACCCAGCATGTTGCAACCAGGATTTGAACCGAGCAGCTGGCCATGTGGGTTCTGTTCCCCTAACCACCAGGCTATGGGGCCAGCCTTGGGCTGTCTTTTCAAAGATGTTTATAGGAGCAGCCTTGGAGTAGTGTCTTCTTAAGGAGCAAAGGCCAAGTGTGTTTGCTGTCTGCTATGAAAGAATAAGGGTCCTTAAGCCAGGTTGTCTTTCCTGGAGCCCAACCTGCTACATGTGCGGGGTCACCTGGCCCTTTTACATTGCCGTGTGGGAACTGGGCTCATGGAATCAGAGTAAAAGGGCATTACTGTGGCTGCCGCCGCAGTGGTAAGTTGTTCTTTGTCTTTGGCTCAGAAGTTTTGTGTCCTCTCCTGGCATGAAACTATGGCAGGCTGACTCACTGGCCTGCAAGTAGAACTGCAGCTCAGTCCCTCATTGTTCCTGACTGAGGGCCTCCTGTATGCAAAGTGTGTGATACACACAGACCTGAGACATGGCTTCTGACACCAAGACGTTCTGCCATCTGGTTAGGAGGTGAGGCCACGAAGCTTGAGAATTACTTGAGTGCCAAATTAGCAGTACAGCAGACAGGAGGGTGCCATGCTTAATGCTTGTTGAATATTTAAAGAAGACACTTGGGGGAGGGGCACTCTGGGCTGCTCTTGTGCGTAAACAGCTGTGAAGTCAAGTGGCCAGGGCCGCTCACACCTTGGGACTCGTGACACATCCAACAGATGGAGGTACTTACCTCCTCACCAGCCTGACCCTAAGGATATATGACAGAGGTCAGGCAGGGGTGTCCCTTAGTTGTCACAAATATTGACACTCAGGACTCCATCTGGAAAGATCTCCATCTATACTGCAGCAGGCAGAGAGGGGTGGTCCTTGGGGCTGCAAGTGCCAGGCATCTCTGAAGTGGGAGAGGGTACATTTCATACCCCTGGGCAGGGTGGGAGGTGGTGGGTGCTATGGTCTGAACTGTGCCCCCTCTCCATTTCTCTGTTGAGGTCCTAACCTGCAGTAGGTCAGAATGTGGCCATATCTGAAGACACGGTCTTTAGCGACAAGTAAGTTTAAATGAGGTCTGTAGGGTGGGTTCCAGCCCAATACAACGGGTATCCTGGTTTTTTTTATTTTTTTTTATTTTTATTTTTTTGTGTCATAGGGCACGCATGCTTACTGGAGAGAGGCAGAGAGAGGGAAAGTGAGAAATCACCACAGGGAGGATGGCCTCACCTCAGTCCTTCATTTTCCATTCTCCTCTTGGGATCCTGAGCACACATGCACACATATTTGGTGAGATTTTCAAGCTGCCAGGTCTGGGCTTGAACCACGGTTGACTATGTTGGAGTCCAGTGCTTTAACCACCACACCACCTCCTGGCCCCTGGTGTCCTTTTAAGAAGAGAAAATTCAGGAGCCCCCAGGTGGCATGGTGGTTAAAGCACTGGACTCCCACATGGCTGACCATGGTTTGAGTCCCGGACCTTGTGTCTTACTTTCTCACTTTCTTTTCTCTCTCTCTGGTCAAACTAAAAAATAAAATTAATAAATAAAATAATTCTTTAAAAAAAAAAAAGAAGAGAAAATTCAGACACAGAGGGAACAGAGAGAGCTCAGGGAGAAGATGGATATCTGCAAACTGAGGAGAGAGGCCTCAGCCCTGTCGGCACCTTGACCAGGGCTGTGGGCTTCCAGAGGTGTGAGGAGATGACTTCCGGTGTCAGAGCCATGCAGCCTGTGGTGTGTGAGGCCACCAAGCAGACTTGGGCACTGGGGATGGGTGAGGTGGGGCTACCTGGGAGGGAAGCAGGCTCAAGTGCCAGGAATCCCCGACACCCCCTTCTTGACGTGCATTCCCCGTTTACTGCTGAGGAGCCAATGGCCTATTCTCAGGCTCCCCTGAAGGAAGTCTCTGATGGTGTGGGACCACATCTACCCTTCCAGGGCTGAGGGCTGCAGGTCCCAGGGGCTGGGGTACCTGAGCGTACTGCCTGCTGCCTCCCCGGAGGTCTCATCATACCCTTAGTTTGCTGCCGTAAAGCATGCCTAGGCCCATGGCCCTCTGCTCTCCTTCACCATCGGACGTCTCACAGGCTGCAGGAAATGTCCCCGTCCCCCAGGGCTGTCTTAGGAGCTTGTCTTCACAGGCTCTTCTAGTGTAATTTCTACATTCCAGGGTCATCTCTGCAATCACTGGCCTTTTCAGTGCAGTCTCTCCTGGGAGACAGCAACTTCTGGAGCTTTCAGTTTTAGATTTTAGCCAAAACTGGGGCTCAGACTTGCTTCTGAAATGTCCATCAAGGGTCCAGCTCCAGGGTCAAAGGAGGAAGGGAAACACTGGGAGAGCAGTGACTGGCTGCCTCTGCCGGTTGTCCCATCATGTTGATGGTGGGGTCCCGAGGGTCCCAGCCTCTCCTGAGTTTCCTCTCTTCTTGGAACAGGGCCCTGCCTCTCACCCCAAGACTCTGCCCATCCTGCTTCCAAGGAAGGCAGAAGACTCTGAGAGTCCCGCGTGGGCTTTGGAGGAGCTGCCCTTGCTCAAATCAGGCATGCCTGTTCCTTGGGGTGCGTTGTTGGAACTGATGACGTGGAGGAGAGAGAAACTGTCATCACCTTCCCTCTGAAATCAGGCCTTTGGAGGCAGGGGACAGGGCGCTCCCTGTCGGCGTCCGCCCCCAGGCTTAGCGCTATGGTCCCGAGGGTCCCAGCCTCTCCTGAGTTTCCTCTCTTCTTGGAACAGGGCCCTGCCTCTCACCCCAAGACTCTGCCCATCCTGCTTCCAAGGAAGGCAGAAGACTCTGAGAGTCCCGCGTGGGCTTTGGAGGAGCTGCCCTTGCTCAAATCAGGCATGCCTGTTCCTTGGGGTGCGTTGTTGGAACTGATGACGTGGAGGAGAGAGAAACTGTCATCACCTTCCCTCTGAAATCAGGCCTTTGGAGGCAGGGGACAGGGCGCTCCCCACAGATCACACCCATCTTGGGGTGCCCCTGCGGAATAGGTGGCCTAGGGGTGAAGGGAGGGAAGATGTCGTGGTCTGGCGTATAATCCTCCAATTCTCTTTGAGTTGGGGAAAAACTGCAGCTGTACTCGTTAGATACTCTGCCTCATGGGAGGTATTAAGAAATATTTGCTCGATGTACATATGAATATTTTTCTTCAGAGTCTAGGGAAAGGTTGATTTTTTTTTCACTTCTGTATGGTCTATATGCTACATGTGAGTGGTCTAAATTCTTGCTGCTCAAATGCAATGATTCATTGGCCTGTAGTATGGGCACCTGCCTAGCTTGTGAGATGCAAAATCTCTGCTCCACTCCAGACCTGTTGAATCAGGATTTGCATTTTCACAAGACCCTGGGCACTTCGTGTGCTGGGCAAAGTTTGAGAAACACTGGCACATATATCACATCTAGGAGGCTTGCTGGGCAGAATTCAGATGTAAAACAAGGCCC